CTCCAGTGGCAGCTCCAGTGGTTCCAGTGGTGGCTCCAGTGGCTCCAGTGGTGGCTCCAGTGGCTCCAGTGTTGCTCATGGTGGTTCTTCAGGATCTTTGTTATTTAAGCCGGGAACAGGGTATTCCCAGATCAGTTACTCTTCTGGATCTAGCTCTAGTCTACAAAGTGCCTCTGCCTCCTCCCACTCGGGAAGCATCAGCTCCCAGTCGGGAAGCATCAGCTCCCAGTCTGGAGGAGGCTTAAGTTCTTCTGTTTCCCAAGCCTCCTGGTTGTCCAGCAGCAGTGGCCAAAAGGTCAACTCCAACCAGCGCCCCTGTAGTTCTGATGTCCCTGACTCTCCCTGCAGTGGGGGGCCCATCATCACCAGCTCCCACTCCGTATCTGAGAGTAAAAGGCCTGTTGTAGTGGTGGTGGAGCAGCATGGCTCTGGTGGCCCCGGAGTCCCCTGTAGCAGTGATGGCCTTCCAGGGAAGCCCTGCCCCCCCATCACCTCTGTAAACCAATATGGCAGCTATGAGGTGGTGGGTGGCTCTTCTGACAGTTATCTGGTCCCAGGCATGACCTACAGTGGGGGCAAAATCTACCCCGTGGGCTACTTCACCAAAGATAACCCTGTCAAAGGTTCTCCAGGGGCCCCCTCCTTTGCAGCTGGGCCCCCCATCTCTGAGGGCAAATACTTCTCCAGCAATCCCATCATCCCCAGCCACAGCTCTTCAAGCTCTAACATCTACCAGTCGGGAGGTTCCTCGACCGTTGTGTTCCACCCAGTGGGCTCTGGTGGGGTCCGGCTCTGTGGTGTTGGCTCCAAGGGGCCCTGCTCCCTCCCTAGCTCTGGAGTCCACAGCAGTTCGAGCCTTTCCAGCAGTTCTGGTTCATCCTTCCATCCCTGTGGCGGTGTTTCCCAGGGGCCCTGCTCCCCGCCAGGCACTGGCTCCTTCAGTAGCAGCTCCAGCTCCCAATCCGGTGGCAAAACCATCCTTCAGCCCTGTGGCAGCAAGTCCAGCTCCTCCGGTCACCCCTGCATTTCTGCCTCCTCATCATTGAGTGGGGGTCCCGCCGGCTCTCCCCAACCTGATCCGTCAGCTGGTGCGAAGCCCTGTGGCCCCAGGAGCCCTGGAAAGATCCCCTGTCGCTCCATCCGGGACATCTTGGCCCAAGTGAAGCCTCTGGGGCCCCAGCTAGCTGATCCCGAAGTTTTCCTGCCCCAGGAAGAGTTATCTGACAGTCCCTAAGCTTTTGCCTATGCGTATGTGCAGACACACACACACACACACACACCTCCCAGGTGGGTGAAGTCCAGGGACTCAGGCATGGGGTTAGCTCAGTTTGCCTTTTCCCTCCCAAGAGAGCTGCTCTACTTCTCCCATCACCCTGATGTGGCAGACTCCTTCTTATCACCTGTTTTTTCCTTATCTCCCCAAATTGTAGACTCCAAATCCTTTTCCTCATTTTCCCCTACTGCTTAGATTCCCATTCTCCTGCAGTGCCCTTCCGGCCAGATACTCACTCCCTAGAATTTCCTCTGCCATTTCTTTGAGATGATACGGTCCATCTGCTAGCCCTACCCATTTGGATTCTTGAATAGGAAACTCCTGATATGTCTGAGAGTAACTCTGATGCCTGGACAGGTCACCCCTCCTCCCCGGCTTTGCCAAATAAAGCACAATCCAAATGGTTATTTGGAGACAATGACCACCTCTCACTGATTTCACTTCGCCATCTGGTCAACCAGTGTGATAATGCTATTGGGTTCTCACACTCCCTATTCCACTTCCACTCTCCATTACAGAACTCATCACACCTTCTGTGAATTCCCAACACACCTCTTATCTCTCAATGTATCCATCTCAGTCCCCCTTCCTGGCTGTCACTTCCCTGAATGCTCAGATGCTCCCCCGTGTGTGGGAGATACCAGGGCATCTGCAGAGACTGGAGCAGGCTCCCTGTTCTCTCTGGATCCTGGACGGACATCTCAATACACTGTGTGACCTACATGTAGACCTTTTGCCTTCGTGGAGTCCTGGGTCTCCCCTTACCACCTGGGTGATGTTCTCTCATGCCTCTAAAGGTTCCATGTTCCCCATTTTCATTTATAAGTTGGCCCAGTATTTCTCATATATCTTACAGTTCCTTCCACAAGGGAGGAGAATAAATAATAAATATTTGTTGAACTGAAAGCAAAGGTTGCCTAATCCTCCTAGATCCATCCTCCCACCTCTCCTCTCTCTCATTGCTCCAGGAAATCCATTCTGTCTCCACTCCCTATTCACCCTGAGGTCCTCCCCTCTTTTTATATAGGGCCCTAATTACTTCTTCGCCTCCCCATGAGGCTCCTTCTCCTTTACCATTAGTTTGCCTCACCTCTGGATGCCATCCTCTCTGGGAGTCTGGAACATCGATTTTCTGGGTTTCTGGGACACCTGGAACCTTGGGAAGGCTGGAACACAACAGCCTAGACCAGATTCCTGGTGACTGAGTAGGAGCCCAGGCAAGTGTTGTTCAGGGAGCTGTGGGTGGAGAGAGTAAAAGACAGAGAGGATGGAGGATGACAGTGTTTGCAGCCAAGCATGGTGACTCATCGGCCTACATCTAAATGCCCCAGCCCATGGCAGAACAGAGCCAGCAGTGTCCTCTCCACCTTCACACTCTTGCTGCCTGTGCTGTGTTCTTGAGTGAGCACTGGCAGAGCTGAGGGGGCAGGGCCCTGGAGTGGAGAAGGGCAGGTGGCCTCCATGGGAGAAGACAGAGAAGGTGGACAGGGTGCGGAGGGCCATACAACCATGTCCTGGAGACAGGCCAGGGAGACAGGGAGGCCGAGGAAGTTCTCATACCCCAAGGAGGGGAGAGCGGGCTGTGCTGATCCCTATCAGAAGGACCTCACCCCAAACATAGGCCACCTCTCAGAGCCTCTGCTTGGCTTCAAATGAACTGAACCCTACCCTAAGATTTAACTCATTCTCTTACTTGGATGTGTTAGCTGGTTTCAATTTGGACTACTGTTGAAATTTGAAGTCCCCAACCAGCAGAAATGTATTACATTAACCAGAAGTGACCTGGAGCAGCTAAGCCAACCTGCAGGATTGACTGAAGACAGAAGAGGGCTCCAGATAGTCCTGTGTCTGTCATCACAGTGGAGTCACCTTTGGTCTGGCCTCTGGACTGCAGCCAATGACAGGAATCCAGGCCCTTAGAGCCTCTGGGGCCTGAAATTGTGGGAGGGGTACAGCCTCAGATATGGGGATTCCTTTAGTTCCTGGTGTGATCCAGGTCAAAAGGTTTCACAAAACTGGTGGATATCATCCCAAAAGGCTGCTGCCCTGTGCCCAGTGGCCAGTTTTGGAGACGAACACTTCACTCTTCCAGAAGCCAGCCAGCAGGGGCTCGGGATGAGGCTGGGATAGTAAAATCTAACAGCTGATATTTAGACTTCATGCAACAAGGGAAGCCTATTCTGGGTGCGTCCTGGACCCAACAGAGAAACAAAGGCATTTAAACACTTTTCATTGTGAAAATTTCAAACATATTTAAGAGTAGACAAAATAGCTCATAAATCCCTATGCTCTCATCACCCAGCCTTAACAATGATCAACTCTTGGCTATTTGACAACAGCGTTTCAATGCCTTCCTTCTACCTGGTTGGAAACATCTGCTCTGTATCCCTCAGTATCTTTTGGATGCGGTGGACATATCTGACCATCTGTGGTAGGCAGAATGGTGCCCCCTACCTCCACCATCACCAGAGATGTTCATGTCCTGATGCCTGGAGACTGAACATATTAGGTTACACAGCAAAGGGAAGTTCAGGTTGCAGATGGAATTAAGGTTGTTAGTCAACTGACTTAAATAGATTATCTGGGATTATTTGGGTGAGCCCAATGTAATCACATAGGTCTTTAAATGCGAGAGAGGGAGGAAGAGGAGACCAGAGTGATGCAATGTGAGAAGATCCTGCTGTTTCCGCCTTTGACCATGGAGGAGGGGGACCATAAGCCAAGGAATGCAGGTGGCCTCTAGAAGCTGGAAAATCAAGGAAATGGATTCTCCCCCAAGGGCCTCCATAAAGGCTCTACCAACACCTCAGTTTAACCTAGTGAGACCCATGTTTGGTTTCTGATCTTCAAAATTGTAAGAGAGTCAATTTGTGTTGCCATTAAGTTTGTGGTTATTTGTTATAGCAGCCATGGGAAAGCAATACATCATCTCTCAAGGAAATAAACCAGGTTTATTTCCCTACACACTGATTCTCATCTAGGAGCAGCCCCTCAGATGGCAGCCACTTCTGCAGCCCAGAACTTCCTGCAGGTTGAGGAATGGAGGCAATGGAGCTATGGGGATGCATGAGAAAGGGGTGCTGGAAGAGAAAGATCTGGATCCCAAAGAGAAAAAGAATCAAGTGTTTCTATTGCTGAGAAGTCAGTGAAGCGGGACCCTAAGGTGAATGTCCTCGTGTGCTTGGGGTAGGGAGCCAGGGAACCAGTGGCAGCTAGTGGTGAGCTGTGAGCCAGGACACCTGGGTTAGGAAGGGGTGGGGAGCTCGAAGAAAGAGCAGGGTGGGAACACCCAGCTTCCTTGGGTCATTCAAGTGGCACCTGTTGCCACAGAATGAATTAGGAATGGGGGTGGAATGTGGAGATTTATTGTCACCACAGCCACCGGATCGGCTTGTTTCTGATGTCCCCCGCCCCACTAACAGGATAAAGGGCTGGCTGTCTCGGGCCGAGGGAGATGCAGAGCAAGATGCAGGGCTGTATGGTGGGGAGCTGGGCTCCCTTGGGCCTGCTCCTGGTCTGTCTTCATCTCCCAGGTATGGAGGCTGTGCCCACCCTTGGGCAGAAGGGGACTGGGGGCCTCAAGGGAACTGAAATTGAAGGAAGGGGTAAAGGCAGAGGGTGTACACTTGGATCCCCCAGGGAGGTAAGAGTTGGCAGAGGGGAAGTGAAGGGACCTGAAGCAAAGGGAATCAGGGAATCAGGGAATCAGGGAATCAGGGAAGGGGGGGCATTGGGACCAAGCATCTTGTCCATTGGCTGCCTCCTCCTCCCTTTCCCTCAGGCCTCTTTGCACGGAGCGTCGCTGTGATGGAGGAGAAAGTTCCCCGAGACTCGGGGATCAACTTGTCTCTGCTCGGACAACCTTCTCTGACCAGCCACTCCAACTCCCAACAGCCTCAGCCCAGACCAGACCCTGGGCCTAATAATTTAGCAAGGGTTCCTCTGAAGCCCAATGCTTCCCCGTCATACAGCTCTCAACCTGCAGGAGGTTCTGGGGTGCAGAGGTGGTCCCCATCACCCTCCGTGGATTCCTGGCCCTGGGAGGACCTTTGGCAGATGATGGCTGCTGCGGCTGAGGACCACGAGGGGGAAATGCTGCCTGAAGAACTGTCTTACCTTTCTAGGGTGTTTGCCCTCCCTCCTGGCAGCGGTCCTTTGCCTGCAGGGCCCGCTGCACACTCCCCAGGCTCCTCACCTGAGGCTCCACTCCTCCAACAGGACTCTGAGTCTAGACAGCCACCCCGTTCTAATGCACTGGGAGCCCAGGGAGGAATCTTTGCCCAACACCCACTGTGGTCTTCCATCAACAGGATTCGACGGCCACTTCTGCCGGGTCACCCCTGGGGGACCCTGAATCCCAGTGTGTCCTGGGGAGGCGGAGGTCCTGGAACTGGATGGGGAACAAGGCCCATGCCAGACTCTGTGGGAATCTGGGGTCACAGTAATCAATACCCAAGTACCAGTTGGGGGAATATTAATCGGTATCCAGGTACCAGCTGGGGGAATGTTAATCGGTATCCAGGTTCTAGCTGGGGGAATATTCATCTACACCCAGCTAATAGTCAACTTCCTCCCAGAGTTCTCCGTCCTCCTGGGTCTACATGGAACCTCCCAGCTGGCTTCCCCAATCCTCAAAACCCTGGGTCACAGTGGAGTTAGGGGAATGACAGAGTGGGAGGAAACCCTAAGGTAGAAGTCCGAGAAGGGAGTCCTGCTCCCTCCTCTTGCAGTGTGAGCGAAATCAAGACCCTATCAGCTGTTTCCTAGCACCACCCACACTTTCAGCTGCCTCTCCTGACTCTCCAGTGCCTATCTCCAATAAAGCACAAGCATTTATGGAATCTGCTCCTTCTCAGTGTCTTTGTTTCTGGGTGTAAACTGAAGTGAGTTTTGTCCATCCCCATTTTCTTTTTTTAAAATTATTTTTATTATTTTTGGGGGGTGTAATTAGGCTTATTTATTAACTTATTTATTTAATGGAGGTTCTGGGGACTGAACCCAGGACCTTGTGCATGCTAAGCACGCACTCTACCACTGAGCTATACCCTTCCCCCTCCCCTCCATCCCCATCCTCCGACACTCTCTTGCCAACTCCATCTTTTGCAAAAGTTCAAAGCCCAGGTGTCTGAGGGTGGAGCCCACATAGTCTCACCTAGGCCAGGTGGGAGACCTGGTTCCAGAATTGTCCTGGAATCTGGAAAGGGGAGGAGGGGCAGCAGGACTAACTGAGATGCCACCTGTGGCAGAAGGGAAGGAAGTTGGTACCAGGGCCAAGTGGGGAATGAACACCCTTTGATTCACAGAGACACAGAGGGTCAGAGAAAGTCATTCTGTCTATGCTCATCTTTTCTTCCCAGAGAATCACGCTTCTTGGAAGCGGAGGATGCATTGATCTCCTCCCTTACACGCATCACTTGGTACATTGTGTCCCAGAGAACCACAGACTTTGGGCATTTGCGGAACAAATAGCAGACCTCAACAGAGGAAGAAAAGAAGGCATAAAGGGACAGGGAGAGAAAAACTTGGAACGAATAATCCTACCTGTGGCTGCATTTGATGCTTTTATTCCCAAATGATGACATAATCTCTCCTTTTGGTCATACTGCCTTCCATTTGGCTTTCCCAGGGGCTTGGCATCCTTGTTCAGGAGTTGAAGTGAGGTGGGGAAGGGTCATTCTAGGAAATGGAAGTTAACGGAAGCCGGCTGTGGGTGATGGGGTTTCCGAGGGTAAGCTCCTGGTGGCCGCCCAACGTCTTCCCCGTGCTGTGAGTGGACTTCACCAGACTGGTCCAGGTGTATATACCCTCCATATAGCCCCAGGTCCCGGGAGTTGGGCAGGTTGTGGGGGACAAAGGAGAAGGAGGATAAACACCAGAATTGGACGGATGGGGAGCCGTCTGCCTGAATGTGAGGTGTGTGTTCTCAGAGAAAATGCTCCTGTCTGGTGTCTGTCATGACGCTCCATCCTATGCTAAGAATTCCTTCATGGGACACCTTCCCATCACCAACCACATGGCTGTCTATCACCTCAACCTCTTCTCCCAATTCTTTCCCACTCTGGACTCTCAGTTTCTCTCTGTCCTGGGCCAGGCAGTTCTGTTTTCAGCCCCTGTCTCTTCCACAAGCCCAAGCTCATTCTCTTGGGCTTGGTCTCATTTCTCTGTTCTTCTTTCAGGCTGTCCCCTCTCCCTAGTTCACTCCTATTTGCACTTTAAAATTCTGCATTGGCACTCCTTTCCTCTGTTCCCCACACACCCCAGAGCTCAAGCACCACTGGGAAGGGACTCGGTATTGTTCACGGCTGCACCCCCAGCACCATGGATATTGTCTGGACACTGAGTCAATCAGTGCACCCTCTTTCTTTCTCCAACTCCCCCTGTTTTCTCGTCTTCCACCTTATTCCTGAGCCACAGGGCTGCACAAAGACTCCCATCTGTCCTGCTGCTGTGGCCTTCCCAGAACCTCACTGACCTCTCCCTACAAACTCCACAAAGCCCTTCTAAGCTCATAAATGCTCTGTACATGCCATCCTTGAAGTTTCCTGGATATCTGTGAGGAAGGTGTTGGTGTTGTAAGGTAAAAAAACAGATTTCTGCTCAGAGAGATTAAGCAACTTACACAAGGTGACATAGCGAACAAGTGACAGAGTCAGTGACTCAAACCAATTTTTTTTTCATTATCTGTCCAGGGTGTGTTCAAGGATAATATGCAATTAACAAAAACCCATCTAATTTTTACTGAGTACCTACTATGTGCCAGACTCTGGACGAGGTGCTTTGACACACAGCTTTCCAGCTAACCCCCACAGCAGTCGCATCGGGGAAGCATTGCTGGGCTCGTTATACAGGTGGAGTTACTGAGGCCCAGAGAGGGAAGTGAGCCAACACTGACAGAGGTAACTCTGAGCAGAGGGAGTGGAGTTCATCCTCTACTTGGTGCTGATGGAAGGCTCTGGGAAGCTGTGGTCAACCCCGGCGGAGCCCAGTCTTTGCTTTAAGGTCAGCTGCTGCTATTAAGGAAAAAAAGCTGAACTGGTCAGTAATCTGCGATATAATGAAAGTCCTAAGGTTTGCAGTGGGAGCTGCTGCTGGTGTGCTGAGTTTTATGTTTTTGTTAGTGGCTGACCAGGGGGAATGGTGGCTGGAGTAGCAGGAGTCATTTCTCCCGTCCCAGGAGGGACAGTGCGGCAGTAGAAAGAGCCCTTGTGTGGAAGTTAGTAGACAAGGATCCCCTTCCATGTGCCCACACAGCCTTCTCTGCTGTGTCCACATAGGCTGGTCATTTACCTCTGTGGACCTTAGTTTTCTCGTCTGTAAAACAGAGTAAAAGCAGATGTCTACCTCTCAGCATGGTCAGGAAGTTTAATTAAGAAAATGATAAACTGCCTGAGAGGCTGAAAAATGGAGCAGTTGTAAGAGCTTGATTATAACGCAGGACGTTGTCCCAGTGAGGCAGTCCTGGCGGCACCACAGACAAGGAGCGCTCTTAGCCCGCAGTGGGCTTGTCTCTGAAGAGGCCGAAGTTGACTTCACAGCTGATTGGGTTTTTTAAATTTTAATAATACATTTTATTAAACTTAATATTCCAAAATAGTATCATTTCAACATATAATCAATATATTTTTAAAAAGATAAATGAGATTTTTTTACATTCTTTTTTTCCCATAGTAAGACTTTGAAATCTGGGGTAAGTACAATTTTATACTTACAATGTATCGCAGTTGGGATGAAAAATTTGAATTGGAGATTATTGCTCTGTATCTAGATTTCAAAAATTTACAGTTGAAAAAAGTAAATTTGTAGACCTAAGGAATTCCAAACATACTTAAAAGTTTTTCCAATAATGGAATCGAGTATCAGTTTTAAAATTTAACATAGAAATTAACGACATTATGCTAAGTAAAAGAAATCGGACACAAAAGGTCAAATATTGTATGATTCTATTTATATGAAATGTCCTGAATAGGTCAACCTATAGAGACAGAACATAGATTGGTGGTTGCCAGTGGCTGTGGAGCGCAGAGTCAGGAGGAGAGGGGGGAGGGTATATCTCAGTGGTAGAGCGCATACTCAGCATGCACCAGGTCCTGGGTTCAATCCCCAGGACCTCTATTAAACAAACAAATAAACACACACAGCTAACCACCCCCACCCCTGCCAAAAAAAAAAAAAAAAGAGTGAGGAGTAATTGCTCAATGCATATGGCGTCTTCTCACAGTGGACTGTTGAGTGTGGAATGATTCTTCCCCATGGGAATCACTCAAGAGAATCACTCCAAGATCAAGAAGGGAGAGTCAGCTTCTCACTGAAATATTTCATTCCTCAAACAAATAAACCTTCTTGCAGAGGTCTTTCACTTACACACTTGCTCTCGGGCGATGATAATAATAGCTTCCTTTCTTATATATTTACCATGAACGAAATGTGTTGCAGGATTACCTCAATTCTCACAGCAATTCTAGGATGTATTTACTCTAATTATGTCCCTTTTACAGGTGAAGAAATTGAGGCTCAGCAAGGTTAGGTAACTCACCGAAGGTCACACAGCCAGTAAGAGATGGAGCTTGAGTTTGGTTCCACTTAGAAACTGCAAGCTCAGGTGGGCAAACTGTACCGAGCAGGTGAAAGCGAGGTTCTCCAGCCCCTACAGCTTAATCGCCACCTGGAGTCCTTCCTCTGCCAAGTCCATTTTCACCCGTCTCCATGTCACCTGAAGACTAGCAGCCAGGTTTTGGTTTTGTCTCTCTCTCCAGACCAAGTGCCTACCTCCTGTGTTCCTCTTATTATTCCGTTGGAAGGTTGTCCCCTAGTGTCTTTTTCCACCTCTTTCTAGGTCGGCATTCTCCTTTTGCTGTCAGGAAACTGGTGAACACATCCAGAAGACCTTTACAAACCCATATTGTCACATGTGAGAGTGAGCACACCAGCCCTTGGGAAGGTCGGTCATACAACGTGTGGTCCTCTGTAACTGGCCTCTTTCACTTAGCACAATGTTTGCAAGGTTCAGCCATGTTGTAGCAGATATCAGTACTTCATTCCTTTTTATCATTGAATTCTTTTTCATTTCATTGTTTCATTGCATGGGTGCAACACTTTACTTATCCACTTACCAATTGATGGGTAGTCGGAGCTGCCTCCACTCTTAGGCTATTACGAATCATGCTGCTACGAACATTTGTGTGCAAGTGTTTGTGTAGACATATATTTTCATTTCTCTGGAGTATATATCTTAGGAGTGGAATTTCTGGGTCATAAGTTAACTCCATGTTAAGCTTTTTGGGGAACTGCCAAACAGTGATGTTCCAAAGCTGCTGCACCATTTCACGTTCCCACCAGCTGTGTATGACGATCCCAATTTTCCCACATTCTTGTCAACACTTGTTATTATTTGTCTTTTTATTTTAGCCAGCTTAGTGGACGTGAAATTATATCTTACTGGAGGATAACTCTTTTTAAGTGCATAGATTTTAGAATTTTGCAACCTATTTTCTTCCCCTAATATAACATACTTAAAAAAACCCTCATGACCAGTTTTACATAGTATGTTTCTTTCTCATCATGATACTCTGATTATTAGCATTATTAAATCTTATTAATTCTTATTTTATTATAATTAGTAGGGCAATCTAGATTTTTAATCTTCTAGGAGATGAGGAATTAGGTTGACTTTATTAGCTCTCTTTTAGTGGCTTTTTTTTTTGGTTAATTTATTGCCTTAATACCTACTATGGAAACCACCTTCTCCTTCATCCCTGCCTCAGACATCCTCTCTTGTCAGATGTACCTGTTTCTGCTAAAGTTCATTCTCAGAGTGGGGCTACTTGGTTTTCTCACAGTTGCCTGCAATTTTCTTTTCTCCTTACGTAGGTGAAAGCAAGAACCTATCTCTGCTTTATAACCACACACATAATTAACAGAAGAAACAAAACGAACAATTCCTTTTTGATTCAAATCAATTTTTAATAACTCCATCCATTCTTTTCTATTACAGACGTCTTTTGTGAACTTTATATGAACTTTTATCTTTCGAGTATCATAATGATCTCATGGCCTTTACAGCCACAATTTACTGCAATGAACTATAATTACCATTCCTCCTCCTCATCTTCTTTCTTCTCATGCTCAATTGTCTCAGGATGAACAATGGAGATCCTTTAAATTGGCTCCTTTGTCCTTTATAGCACTTTCCTTGACATTCTTGAAGGCATCCTGCCTTTCTGGCAACAAATGAACATTCAAGATCTGTCCTGAGTCTTTCCTTCCCTGAGACATGGAATCAGCTATCATTGGAGCCTTACTGATGGGTTCTAGTTTCTTTAAGTGAAAAATAGTATTTGAAACAAAAACAAGGTGCTGGGGGTCCACATGAGAATTGTGGTAAAAATCCTACCTCCCCTGTTGGCCACTTTTAAGATAGGCAATTACATGGAGTTTGTGAATTTAACATGATATGTGTTTTGTGTCTTATTTTTGTGAGACTGTGTGGACCATCAGCCACAAAGACGTTCAATGTCACCAGGAGACTGAAGGGGAGAAACACAGCCTGGACTAGGTTGTGTGCAAGAATGAAGTGGAGGGACATGCGGAGGCCAGAATAGATGTGGGCGAGGTTGGAGGGTGTGAATTGGGTAGCATTCATCTAAGGTGAGATTAGGAACCAGGGCCAGTTCACTGTG